TCCCTTTCATCCTGCTGGACACCGTGCGTTTTCCGGAAGCTGTGATCACGATTTTGCTCGGTTTCCGCTTAGTGACAGACTCGGGGATTCGGTTTCTCAGCCTAAGCTTCATTTCTTTAACCACTAAAGCTCGGAGCTCGACTGCAGCCGTGTATCGAGATGAAGTTCTTGGGTAGAAAACCATAGCGTTGTTGAAGAGAAGTAGAAGATCTCTGTAGAATGTTCTTGAATCTTCGGAATATTCTCCTCCCTCCAGCCTTGATTTGACTGTTCGGAGATCCATATGTTGTCGTATAAGTTTCCTGTATCTCTCAGATTCCTGCAAAAATCCGAAAGTAACATCACTACTAATGCTTTTGGCATTGTTTACGCACGACCCTTTTGCGGTAACAATTTATACAAATCGCAAATTCATCATATGAATAATTTTGTCCTCTAGGTTTATAACCACCAAAACATAACCCAACCGAAAAATAAAATAAAAAATCCTATTAAAACAATAAAACAAACCTAATGAAACGAATTCTCAAAACAAAATCGAATCAAAACCGAACCGAACAGACTGGGATTGATTCCTATTCATTTTCATCTGAATTCGAACCAAACCTGATAAGCATGAATCAAAACCGAAAGAATTTATTTCACGTTGAAAAATGGTTCATGGTTAATGATTGGAACCGCAGGCTTTAGATTTAACTTGGATACCGGTTTTCAATTTAAGTACTCGGAAAGAAAAACGATAAACCAAACAGTTGGTTCGAAATATCGGTTAAGTCACATGAGTTAAATTTTGGATTCGAAACCGAACATAAACCCGACTTTCTGGTTTAGATTATGTTTGAAACCCATAACTGAACTGACTCCAAGAAGACGCCCACCTATTCTTCACCCCTGGCCAACCGCTGTCTAATTATTCGTATTTATTTTTATTGTTAATTTCTAAAACCACAAAAAAGTTAGAAAAAAAAAAGACACTGAAAAGATCTATGGATTTATTTTATATATACATATTGTTTATTAGTTATTGAGTTATAATGATAAACTCTATGGAACCAAAAACTGATATTTTATAAGTTTACGAACCCCACAATCCTATATGAATGAACCACCTTGAACGACCAAAATCCTAAGACTAGAAGTGGAAATTACAATCTCAAATCGGATCGATCTCAAGATAACGACCAAAATCCTAAGACTAGAGAGTGGATGTATTGTAAGTATGTGTAATATATTGATATTTTCTAAAAAGAACAGCGATAAAAGAACTAAAATGTGCTGGACATCCACAAGATTTTCCAAAATTTACATTTGAAAAGATTTTATTTCTTTTTTAAAAAAACTTTTATTGCTATTTTCGTATTAGCTATTAAAAATATATTCTAGATTTAGCTTGGAAAAATATTTAACTTAATCTGCTATATAAGATAAAAAAAAATGAAAAATGAAATGTTTATTTAGATTAGTAAAAATATATATTTTTAAAAAATAAAGGTGGATTTAGGTGTTTTCCTAAAAAAATACTTTTAATATTTTTTCGAATTTACCATTTTTTTGTTTTTATTTCCGGCATGTGTTAGAAATTATATTTACAAAAAAAAACATATGTTAAATTATAAACTATAGCATCGTATCCTTGAAATGAAAATACGAAAATGGTTGGAACTGTAAATTCAATATAATCATATTTTATTGTTAGGATAAAATGAAAATTGTAAAACTGTATGAATTTATTAGGATCCACCAATAAAAATCCAAATTTCAACAGCGCACCGCCATAGGGGTGGACACGGATCGTGTATCCGAAAATCTAAGGGTACCCGAACCCGAACCCGAATGTCTCGGGTTATATGTTTTATTACCTGATGTCGTACCTTTAAAGTCAGGTATCCGAATCCGAAAATCCGTGAGATAATTATCGGGTATCTGAAAATACCCGAACCCAAATATTTGTAATTATTTTAAATCAATTTTTTAAAATATATTTATATATACATACTTAAAATCATTCAAATAAATTTAAATTGTATTTATATCTAAAATAAATTTATTTTAAAAAAATATATCATAAATATATCCAATAATATATATATATAATCATTAATATTAAATAAAATAACACAAAATCTAATAAAAAATCTAAATTTTAAAACATAATTTTTTTATTATCCAGGTATTCAAGGATACCCGTGAGATAATAACCATTATCCGAACCCGAATCCGAAAATTCGGATATTCTAATATTAATATCTGATCTTATGTCTCGTTCGCTCGGATATCCGAATTTTCGGATACCCAACCCGTTGATCGGATCGGGTATTCGAAATCCGGGTATTTTTGCCCATCCTAACGCATCAAAATCATGAAGTTTTTTTTTTCTAACCAGGAGGTTCACCTGGGCCTTCGGCCCAACCTATATCCCCTAGGCCCGGGAGTAGCCTTTAAAGGCCCGGCGACAGGGGCCCAGAGAGCAACATCCTCCCAACCGAGAAATACCCCTCAAAATCATGAAGTTTCTAAAGTTAATTTGAAAAGAACACTAATTAGCAGTCCAATCATGAATTTCTCCATTTGAATTTTTTATCGTATTTCTTCACGTCGTTTTTCACAATGTTCTTCCGGTTTTTAGAATGTCTGCACGCTATAATGTTATTCCCATACAGTAAATCTATATGAAAATTAAAATATCTTAGAACCAATTGATAGAATTTGATTGAAACTAAAACCTAGCACAGTGTATGATATTTAAAATAAATTGTTTCTTGTGTATTCTTGAAATATGAAGTAATTTTATCCCTTGAGACTATTTGGCTTAACAAATTTTAAAATTTTCAATATGCACATTTGTGGTGCTCCATAGATTAAACAAGGGTTTAACCAAAATAGTACAGACAATTTGGTGACGTGGCGGAGGGTGAATGGCCAGACTTTTTCAGGTGAACCCACGTCAACTTACTTGATCTTTCTTCAAACTTTTAACCATTTTTTAAAATTCAGAATATTCGTAAAGAATTTTTAAAAGTTTTGGAGATTACCTGGATTCGAAGCCGACGATCGAAAGCCGAGCCGAACCGAGCCGATCTGATTCTTCTCAGTAAATCCACCATCGACTCCGGCGGCTTCACGGCAGCGATTTTCTTCCTCACCGCCGGCGAAACCTCTTCGATCTCCACCACCTCCTCGTCACTGCTCGCCCCGCAGCCACCGGCACGACGGCGTTTCCTCCGAGACAGAGTCACGGAGCTTTGGACATCGCTACTTTGCTTCGACGCCGCCGCTTCCCTCTTTGACTCGCTTATTGAGTCCCTCAACTCGTTCGACTCGCCATGTCGACCCTCCCGAGTCGCCGACGTCGTCACCACCTCCCCACCATCCGTCCTGTCTTCACCATTGTCGGCGTTTCTAGTAAACCTAGATGAGGATCCCTGATCTCGTTCCGGTTCGGTTAACAGAATAACCGGGATCGTCCCGGTTACACCTTCCGGTTCACGCGTGGAGGCCGGTTTGCGTTCCTTTACGGCGTCGTTTTTTGCGTCACTCGACGCCGTCGCCACCTCTGGTTTCTGGTCAGTCGGGATTGAATCGCCGGGGGATCGGACGTTTGACTTATCGGAGGCGGAGAGTTTTCCGGAGAGAGACGCCGGAGATGGCTTCAGCTCTCCCCGCTCTGATTCTCCTCCTCGCAGATCTGTTTTCTCCGTCAACCTACGTTCACTCTCCTCCTCCAATCTCTTAATCTTCGATTCCAACAACCTGAAACCGATAAAAGAATCTCAGATCGGGACCGTAAAATCCGATCCCCAGGTTTCAATCAATCGGGTAATTAATCAACCCCTACGCGATTGAGACATCATGCTGTTTCACCTCGCGGCGGAGCTCCTCAATACGAATCTGCCGGAGCTCCTCGAGCATGGGAGCGGGACAAACCTCCTCCTCATCCGCCTCCGCCGTCATCTCCCCTGAAAACCGATAGCGGAGGCGGAGGAACTCGTCACGGCAGGTCTCAGGGGTGATGACAGAGCACGACACGTAGTTGCGCTGAATCGCGCCGCGGCTTTGAAGTTCGTTGGCTATGGCGTCCCAGTTTTTGGAGCCATGGCGTTTGACGGCGAACACCAGAAGCAGCTCCTCCAGGATCGTCCACTGACCATGCGGCTTCGGTTCACGCTTCTTCGCCATAACCAAGACAGCATACCACAATATGTATGCTTTTGTTAAATATTTGGTTTAGTTTTATATTGGGTAATGTTTTAGATAGTTATTTGCGAATATTCGTCTTTTAGTTGCGGATATATGTTAGACGTGTATCCAAACGTTATGAGAAAGAGACAGAGATAATATTTTTCTAAAATCCGCGAAGACAAAAACGAATAAGAATATCTCCAAAAATACAGATACCCGACGCGTGCCCAATCCGTGGTGACCCTCTATTGGCATATATATATATATATATATCCGTTGTATTGAATATATTTATATGTGGCTGGTGTATAATGTTACCAAGACTATGCGATTGTACTAAATTTTTATTTCGCTCTTTCTTGGGTTTCTCCTTTCCCTTTGTGATTTTTTTTTTTTTTGCGCCTTTTGTTTATCTTTCTGATGGTGTTCCTCTCGCTGGTCGATTTTGATGATCATAGAATAATTAATTATATCCGTTGTATTGAATATATTTATATGTGGCTGGTGTATAATGTTACCAAGACTATGCGATTGTACTAAATTTTTATTTCGCTCTTTCTTGGGTTTCTCCTTTCCCTTTGTGATTTTTTTTTTTTTTGCGCCTTTTGTTTATCTTTCTGATGGTGTTCCTCTCGCTGGTCGATTTTGATGATCATAGAATAATTAATGTTTTATTATAAATTGTGAACAAAATGGATTTGATTTAGTTTGTTTTAGATATATTAATTTATGATTGTTTAGGGTTTATAAAACCATATCGAAGTAGAATGGTACCAAGTCTTGGATTCGAATGCAGTTGGATTAGTAATTGGATGGCATTTTTTTCATGGAAATTGGTAAATAAAATATTTCAATTGGTATAGAAGAGAGGCTATGACCAAAGAACATTTTTGTATCATAAACTTGTGAGCAAATTGGACTTGATTTTGTTTGTGTTATGTGTATAATAAGGTCTAATTATTTAAGAGTTTAACGGAACTTGATTAGGTTTGAATTCAAATTCGAATTCAGTTCGGTTCTGAACAGTGTTAGGTTTATAATTAAATAAATATTTATCTTTTATTTGATTTATCTTGGTTTTTTTTACTATAAACTTGTGACCAAATAGAATTTGAAAATTGGTTTATATATATATATATATATATATCGTTTTGATTATTCAGAATTCATAAAATCAGATCAAAGCGAAAGTGGAAATAAATCTGGTTTGAATTCAGATTCCAATTAGTATTGAGCCAAAAAAATAAACTTTTTCTCAAGTTAAATAAATATCTATTTCATTTGTTTTATTTGGGTTTACTTTATATTCGAAAACATAAAAACAAAATTTTAAATCTACACGCTTTATTTGTAACAATTGATGTATGTGAACCAACTACAGAAGTATCCCCTAATCAAGTTATACAAATTTAGTAATTTAAAATTTAAAAATATTAACTTTTAATTATAAAATAAGTAGCTGTTATTATCAAATTTTATAATACTTAATAATAAATTATATTTGTCATAAACAGCAATAAAAATATAATAATTATCACATTCAAATAAATATAATTATTTTATAATAAAGTATTCCAAATTTTGGCCTACAAAAATGAATTAAAAAATTAAATTTAGAATATATCAATTCGGTTAAAGGAAAGTATTATTTCTATTTGCGAAGAAACTAAAGTTAATTATAAAAATAAAATAATAATTTATTATAAAAACATGGACTCCTTTAATATGTGGATTTTGTGTTCTCGTACGGGCCTGATCAAAACCATAATACGAAAGAAAAAATCCAGGATATTCTTTATTAGTCCGCCTTATACATCGGGCTCTTATTAGACTCATTGGGCTTTGGCCCATTTTCCTCGTTTTCTATTGGATTTTTATTATCTGGATTTCGACAATAATTATGGTTATTTCCACGTTGTTATATATATATATATATATATATATAATAAAGTAATAAGAACTGGTTTTCTTGGGCATAGTATTGTTAAGATTCTGTAATATTTTTCGTTTATATTTACTAATCGCCTATGTTATGTGTTCGTATCTTTTTTGGCAAAGGGTATATGTATTCGTATCTTTATAAATTAGAATTTGCTTCTGGTTCGGATAAAATTTAAATCTTGTTTAGATACCAATTTACGATTATTACAATAAAATAATCTTTGATGTTTTTGGAAAATTAATACATTTTTTAAGAAAAATCTCCCGCAAATAATATATGCATAATTAACCTTGTATTTATGAATTAGAAAATTATGTTAAAAAAATATTAAACTGTGAGTTGCCAAACAACATAAGTATTGGAAAGTTTTTGCTATAGATGTAGGGATCTTTTTTGGGTTTGGTTTAGAAAATGAGAGGAGGACGTGACTCAAACATCTATTCTTATACGAATAACATATCCGTATATACAATGTATATATGTTAGTTTGTACGTACAAACCCGAACAGATGATTCTAATACCGTATAATCTATTTAAAGTGAACTTTTATTTACAAACTAATTGGACGTATTTTTAAAATTAAATTAAAAAATTTGATATAATAATCAAAATAATACTTTAAAAATACATTTTTTAATTAAAGTGATTATATTCGAACAGAAATCAATATTAAACATCTAATAGATATAATTTTATAAAACTGAAAATCTAAAAAAAATAACTTAAATATCCACCCTACTTTTTATTTCATAAAATTTTACCTTAATTCCTTTTTTCCTTTCCTTTTGTATATATTTTAAATATACGGATTATTCTGTCTTACAAATATTTTAATTTAAATGACAAAGCTTTTTTATAGTGAAAAAAATGAAAAAAACAATTTAAATTAAAAAAAAATCTCTTTTGTTTTAAAAAATAAGCATCGCTCCAACAAACGCGATATATATTCTCCCTAATTTTCTAACGGCGAATTATATCGTGTTAAGAGAACACAGAACGCCACAGAATCATAACTAATAAAGACCGTTGGATTTGATCTTCTCGCCACGTCATCAGAGAGTTCATGTCCGAAACCACCTGATCATCATCCATGTTGGAGTAGAAACAGTAAAAGACTTTGGATACAGATTCACATGTAAAGTCGGGGAAAAAAGTTTGTTACAAAGGCTCAGATAAAAAAGGAACTATTTTTTTTTTATTTTTTTTCTTCGAACTATATATTTTCAGAATTATATAATTTCGGAATTACATGTTTTCATTTCTGATCTTTCTTCCAAAGGAAAATTTTTTTTTCTTTCGAGTTGTTCTTGAGAAATTATCAAATTCGATTCATTGAGAAGAAAGATTTTCACTTGGAGAAAACTCTTTTTTATTTCAACCATAAATGACAAAAAGTCTCACGTATTCTAATTTCCAACAGTTTCTGTACATTTTGTTCATCGATACTCGTTCTTCTCCCACGTTAGAGATCTCCACGAAAAGGTGCGTTATGTAAAATTTCGTTTCTTTTTATAATTTTTTTTTATAATCGAATACTCTAAACCAAAACTCAAACTAATCGAGGGGATTGGATCTTATAATATGATTTGAAATATACATCATTTCTCTAAATTTAAAATTCGAACTTTAGGTGGAACAGACATTTTTAATTTTTGTGTCACGGAAATAATATATAAGAAGTGTAAATGAATTAAATCAAATCATTTCACATATCCGAATTCAGGAAAAAATATATATATTTTGTTCTTCTTTTTTTTTTGCCTCACGGAAATTTAAAACGAAATATTTACAAAAACAACGTCCAAAATTGATGTGTTTTGCAAGTTTTTCTTTCTCCGGACTCGAGATCTAATGATTAATGTAATGTCAAATGAATAGACTGTTCGTATAACAATTTGGTGATGTTACTGAAGCAACTTGATAAGAGCATTTAATGTACGTGAATTTCACTTATTATAATCCATGATTTGTATAGATCATTGAAATAGGTAACGTTTCACTATCAATATGACAACAATCTCTCTCTCTCTCTCTCTCTCTCTCTCTCAACACACACACACTTCTTTAATTTTGATTTGCAATAAAGGAAATTTTAGAATAAGTTATATGTTGATCCATGCAGGTTAGACAGCAGGAAATCTTAGTCAAATATTTTAGTGTGACTTATATTTTAGTCAAATATCCATGCAGGTTTCTTTCTTTCATTAATTTTTTAAAAGATTCTAAAATTTTATATATGCGAAATCCCGTTAAGCTCGAATTTCTGTTTAAATTCCGTTTTTATTTTGTTTTTTGTTTGAAAACGAAATCTATCAAAAATTGACCTATGAGAGAGATGCTCCAAATTTCCATCTCTATATATATATATATGTGCGTAACCTATTTGCATCATTATACGCCAAACATTAATGTTCAAATAATCATTACGATGTCTTTCATTTCTTCTCATTTATTCTCCATATTAAAAAAATAGAAAATTATAAATTTACATTTGCTGATCATCATCATAATTTCATTTTTAAATTTTTAAATTTTATACAGATACCTAAAATGGCCGATATGGATCCGAGCAACACCCTTGGCGCTGCTCCGCTAACTGTACGAGTAAAACGAATATATTTAATATCGTAATTCTATATATATATATATATAACATAATAACTATATTTATTTTTATTTGCTGTAATTTTTTCCTGAATTATATGTATATATTTTATTATGTGCAGCGTGGGAGAGATGAGAATTTGGAGGTCGAGGAAGTAGTAGAGATTCAAGATGAACAAAGCGCGGAATCTGTCAAGAACGATGATTCTTCTTCTAAGAAGGATACAAAAATGGTCAAAAAGGGTGGCTGGAAATATGCGATTATTTTGCTTGGTACGTAGCTTTCTTCTAATTGTAATCAAACATCCAACTTATAAACTACGTACAAAAAAAAAACCCTAGATATGTACATATACACATATTACATACCAAACCCTAGGTATGTACATATATACTGATACTGCATAATCTAATCATCACGAACCCTAGAGACTTTCCCTGAAGCTAAATTGTCGTATTTCCCTTTTTTCTTGTGATGCAGCGAATCAAGGGCTTGCGACGTTGGCGTTCTTCGGTGTCGGTGTCAATCTGGTTCTGTTCCTGACGCGTGTCCTAGGCCAAGGCAACGCCGAAGCTGCGAACAATGTCAGCAAATGGACAGGAACAGTTTACATCTGCTCGCTCATTGGCGCGTTTCTCAGCGACTCGTACTGGGGAAGATACTTGACTTGCGCAATCTTCCAAGTCATCTTCGTCTTAGGGATCGGTCTCCTCTCTTTCTCCTCCTGGTTCTTCCTCATAAAACCGAAAGGATGTGGCGACGGAACGCTGGTTTGCATCCCTTCCTCTTCCCTCGGGATCGCCCTTTTCTACTTATCCGTCTATCTTATAGCGTTTGGCTATGGCGGTCACCAGCCTACGCTCGCGACTTTCGGTTCGGACCAGTTCGATGACTCGTTAGAGAGCGGGATGAGCTCGAGGGCCGCGTTTTTCAGCTACTTCTACTTCGCCCTCAATGTCGGATCGCTGTTTTCGAATACGATTTTGGTGTATTTCGAGGATTCGGGTTGGTGGACGGAAGGTTTCTTGGTGTCTCTCGGGTCTGCGGTCTTGGCCTTGGCCGCATTCTTGGCTCCGACCAAAAGATACCGTTTTGTGAAGCCGTACGGAAACCCATTGCCACGTGTTGCTCAGGTATTCGTCGCCACCATGCGGAAGTGGAACGTTGTCCGTCCGACGAACCCGGAGGAGTTGTACGAAGTGGAAGGTCCTGAATCCGCCATTAAAGGGAGTAGAAAGATTCTTCATAGCACTAAGTTTGTGTTCTTGGATAAGGCTGCAGTGGTTACAGAGAATGACAGGTAATTAATAGACATATTTATTTTTACGAATTAAATAAGGCCTTTATTTTTTTAAATATTCGGTCTACAATTTCCGGGATAAATACAAATATTATGTGATTTATCTTGTTTAAACGTTGAGAAAAATGACGGTAGCTTGTTATCTGGGTCCAGAACGTTTTTAATAGTTTTGAAAATCGTACTGAAAATATTCAAATCTAATTACTTTTGGTTAACAAATTTTTATTTTTATTATTTTGGTTTTTTTTTCGAAAATATTACTTTACAATATTTCTTTTTATTGAGAATAATGAAGAATTTTAGTTGGTATATAGTTTATATTATTATTATGATTTGATTTGACTCTATGTAGATATTAAGAAAATAGAATGATTTTGATATTGTGAATATTGCAATAGGCATGGCACGGAGATCAACCCATGGAGACTATGCACCATAACGCAAGTGGAGGAAGCGAAATGCGTGATGAAGATGCTGCCAATATGGGCATGCACCATCATCTACTCCGTCATCTTCACTCAAATGGCTTCCCTATTCGTCGAACAAGGCGACGTCATGAACGCCCACATCGGCCAATTCCGCATCCCGGCCGCCAGCATGTCCGTCTTCGACATTTTCAGCGTCCTGATCTCGACCGGAATCTACCGTCACATCATAATCCCCACCATGAGGCTGACCGAGCTGCAACGGATGGGCGTGGGACTCGTGATCGGCATAATGGCGATGGTTGCCGCGGGATTAACCGAGATCCAACGCCTACGACGCGTGATCCCGGGGCAAAAGGAGAGCGAGCTGACCATATTCTGGCAAGTGCCTCAATACGTTTTGATAGGCGCGAGCGAGATTTTCATGTACGTCGGACAGTTGGAATTCTTCAACGGGCAGGCGCCGGACGGGATAAAGAGCCTAGGCAGCTCGTTGTGTATGGCGTCGATAGCGTTGGGGAATTACGTCAGCAGTTTGATGGTGAATGTGGTGATGATGATAACGACGAGAGGGGGGAACGATGGATGGATACCGGAGAATCTAAACGAAGGGCATATGGATCGGTTTTATTTCCTAATCGCAGCGTTAGCGGCTGTAGATTTCGTGTTCTATTTGGTTCTTGCAAAGTGGTACAGACCCATTAACGTCGATCAAGATAGCGTTAGGGGCGGTACCGGTGCCAGCCGGCAAGGGGCGGTGGTGGAGGAGTTGGAGCAAGTTTGATTTTGATGGGTTTTTTAGTTATTTATTTTATTTTTGTCGTTTTCAAGATGCTTGGGATCTTTCTTTTCTTTTTTTAAAGTCTATTGGACTAAATAAACTTCGTTAGCGGATGGGTTATATTTTGGCTTTGACTGGTTTAGATCCGGTCAAGTGTGCTCGGTTTAGTTGTACCGGAAGACTGTTCTGTTTTTTCGGTTTAGTTTTCCTATAATGTCATTGTGTAGATGTTCATTTGTTCTTCTTGCTCTGTTTTTTTTTTTTCTGTGTGGCGTTTTGTTAGTTAAGAACTTAAAAATTGGTAATGTTTAATAGTTTTAGTTTAAGAGGAAATTTGCAGGTCCCTTCCGATTGAACTGATTTTTGCATTTTCCAAACTATATCTTTTAACGGTTAATATATAATCCGAAATAACCCAACTTTGAATAAACATCACATTTGTTCAAACGAATATTGTTCTTTATTTATCTTTCTTATATCGTTTTTAACATATTCATTGGTTCAAATCTAACCTTCTTTTTTTTTAATTAATCTTTAGCCTCTTTCATTTCCCTCGTATTTATTATACCTCTCGATAAAACATTATCAAATATCTAAATAATTTCGAATTCGGTGTCATAATAAAAAAGATAAGACATCGAACTCGAAAGGTTTCGGCGAATGCTTGTTATTGGAATAATCATTGTATTGATTTTCTGAAGCTAATAGGAAGGTCTTGGCAAATAGGGTTGGACATTTAAACATGTTATCCGCGTATATATGGATACTCAGTCTTACGGTTATTCGAAAAACGGGTACTCGACACCTAAAAAAAGACAAAAGCGAGTACTAAAATGTAGAATATCCGTAAAACGGGTACGAGTACGTGTTTCGAATAGTGAAATAACGGGTACCTTCAGGTATCCCCATATATATTAAAATTATAAAATTATCTTTATATTTTTAATCTAGTTACCAAAATACTGCTATTTTTAATTTTCTTTTACTTGTCTTTGTTTTTTCTTCCGCTGACATTGCAAAAAAATATAAATATATATATACACATATATATATATATACTTACTTACTAACAAATTATTTTTTTTATATTTCAGAATTATATATTAGATTTTCAAAATTTGGTGAATTCAACAAATCATTTTCTATTTTTGAAAATTTTTCTAGGATTTTATTGATATTGTCGTATTTTAAAAATTTTCGAACTTTACATGTGGTTTTGGACCACAATATGTATGCTTTTGTTAAATATTTGGTTTAGTTTTATATTGGGTAATGTTTTAGATAGTTATTTGCGAATATTCGTCTTTTAGTTGCGGATATATGTTAGACGTGTATCCAAACGTTATGAGAAAGAGACAGAGATAATATTTTTCTAAAATCCGCGAAGACAAAAACGAATAAGAATATCTCCAAAAATACAGATACCCGACGCGTGCCCAATCCGTGGTGACCCTCTATTGGCAAAATGCTTCTTCACCCCGATCACATAACAAATCCATGATTCGAGCTCCATACGACGTCGTTCTCTAAGTCCGAAGCCTCTGTTCTGCACATAGATTTCCCTTGTCCTTGGTTTTCTCCTCTTTTTTTGCTCCTGATTATTAGAATTTCCTTCGATTCTGTAATAAATTATGTTTTTTTTATATAATCAATTGTTTATGTTAGATTTTAGGAAATAGTTTATAATAGGTAAATTGTAATTATCCAACCAGTCCCGTTTAAACATCATAGCTTATAAAATATTCTGATTGTTTTGTTACCTCCCATGATAAATATTTTATGTTGGAATAATGTCTATAATTTGATAAAAAATAAATTTTGTGGAACCATGTACGGTCTTATCTCGGCGACCATCCAATAATATATGGCCACGTCAGCTAATCTTTTTGACTCTTTGTCAATGTGTTTTATACTAAAACGACGGAGACTGTGACAGCAGCCATTGAATATTTATAGGCATTTTGTTTTATATTTTAACGAATTTCCTCCAATCAAAACGACGATTTAAATACCGTTAATGTTCCTTGCGTTAAGCTTGATTAATATGAGTCGTACAGGGTCAAAGTAGTCATTTGATCTTCTGAAACGGTTGTCTTTTTTATAGGGACTTTTTTTAAATTCGAATCATCAAAGACAAAAATGCCCACGCTTCTCCTACTTTTTACGTTTTTGTCTATGGTAACTATTTTGCGGGCCCCCTTTTTGTTTTTTCACAACATGAACGGACAAAATTACCCCCGTCCTCCTTGCACTCTTTTTTTCTTCCAAATTTAAAATAGTATATTATTCGTGAAAAAGATAGTATTAATGATATTTATTTGACGAGGAAGGTTTATTTATGGGAGCCATGTATTCTTACTTAGCAGCGAAGCATATTAAAGTTGCAGAATATTTTTTTGTTAAAGTTAACATAAACAGTTGATTTTACAAAGTTAAAAAAATGAGTGGTAATCTCCTATAACATCCTTCCGCTCGATCCTGATGGTGCAAACCATGCAACTATGAGACACCTTGAGGTTTGTCTTCGAGATCTCTCAGTTTATGGTGACCGTTACACCTCTGCAGTTGAATAACGCGCGCTTTTCTGCAGATCCAAGCCGCCGTCCTTGCGCTTCGTGACACCAGAGGTCTTCCATGGCCAAAAGGGCACAAGAAACAGGAGGACGAAGACGTGCTTGACTGGCTTCAGGAGACGTTTGGCTTTCAGGTTATTCGTGTCACAGTAGTCATGCGATCTATGATAATTTTAGCCCTTTTGGGGCTTGCTTTAGTTCATGAACTATATAATGGTTCTGCAGAAAGACAACGTGTCTGATCAGAGGGAGCACCTGATCTTATTGCTTGCTAATGTGCGTACGAGGCAATTTCCAAAGGATGATCAGCAGCCAAAGGTTCGTCCCTTGTTTTAGTATTGCAGCTAATCGGCAGTCTAATTTCCTTTGATGTTTTGTGCTCTAGACATGCCGATGTTACGTAGGGGTGGCCAATTCGGTTATTAACCGAATAACCGAATCGAACCAAACCGAATAAGACATAACCATACCTAAATCGAACTCGACATAAAAACCGGACGATTATGAATTCTTTAAACCCAAAAAACCAAAACAGAACCGAAAAAAACAATTTCTTTGAAGAAACGAATTTTTTACAAAAAAAAACTAATCCGAGCCAAACCGAATTGGAAAATAACCAAATCAAAGTTTATATAAAAACTGAATGATTATAGTTTTTTCTATAATTGAAATAATTGAACCCGAATATAACTGAACCCGAACCGAAACCCGAATGGGCACCCCTACTTTTACACTTGTTTGAAATCTGCACAAAGTTTATCTTAATTTTTGACAACATATAATTTGGATTATATATGTTTAGTGATTTGATATTTAGCTTTTCCAAAGATCTGTGTTTCCTCAAAGAATAAAATCAATGTTCTGTGGATTTATGGTGATAAACTGTGATCCCTCTGCCGTTAGACGATCAAACGGTTACAGAAGCAATGAAGAAGCTCTTCAAGAACTACAAGAAATGGTGCAAATACCTTGGCCGAAAGAGTAGTCTTTGGTAAGGGCTTATTGAATTTTGCGTTTTGACTCGTTATAGATTTATTATCGAGCGACAAAATTATATATATGTTAAGTGACCTTAAAAGTGAAATATTTGTGTCAATGCATGGTTTTGGATTTTAGGATGCCTACTACACAACAAGATATGCAACAACGCATGCAAGTTGTTGTATATGGCTCTGCATCTTCTCATACGGGGTGAAGATGCGAATCTGAGATTCATGTCGGCATGTCTATGCTACATTTATCATCATGTACGGTTCGGTTTGCGTCTCATCTTCTGCACTGCAGCTATCCTTGCTCGTGTCTTGGCACGTTTTGATCTGGCTCTTATTCTTGTTTTGTGTTATGCTCCTATCACGTGAAGTCGTGTATTGGCATGTTTTGATCCGGGTCTCATTACCGGACATGGCTATTCTATCCCTCTTTCTGATCTACGTCGTGTTTTTTCAAAGATGACATTTGAATTATATGGCATGCTGGCCGGGAATGTTAGTCCCATGACTGGGGAAACTGTGAAGCCAGCTTACGGTGGTGAAGAAGACGCGCTCCTCAAGAAAGACTCCTATTTACGAAGTGATCGCAAGGGTATGACACAATGCTAACCACATTCTGCCTGCTTCTGTTTTTAATAATATCCAAACTTATTCGACTGCGTGATTTCTAGGAGGTTGAAAGGAGCAGGAGAGAAAAGCCGAAGCATTCCAACTACGATGATTTGAATGAGTACTTTTGGTGATAATCATTTCTATCTTGTTTTGTTTACTTCCTTCAATAGTTGATTTAAGGTACTCCCTTGTTTTACAGGTCGACTGATTGCTTCCGGTTAGGTTGGCCGATGCGAGCTGATGCTGATTTCTTTTGTCTGACCGTTGACCAGCTCAATTCACAGAGATCCGGTTACCACAGATTATCTCGGTTCTTATACTTCTGCTTTGTTGGATAGTTGCAGCAATCTAGATCTGAATTTCGTGAGATGGTGATGAGGACAACTTCCAGTATATAGTTGCCGCAAGTAATCTACATGTATAGAGGAAAATAATGTCCAAAACATCATGTCTGATAAATCTCAGATATCTTCAACTTGAACCGTTTGAAATATGATATCCACTGATCATAAGTTCGTTCACTTTTTCTATCCATAAATTTAATCGAGACTTTGAGTATAATTTTTTACTTATTTATTACTCATTATCAACATGAAGTCATAGAGCTCACATAACGCTTTCATATCGTTAGTAAAAATAAGTTAAAATGATGGATATATAAAACCGCATACATACCCAGTAATAAAACGACTTCAATCCGACCATGAGGCCTACCGAGCTGCAACAGATGGGCATGGGACTCGTGATCGGCATAATGGCGATGGTTGGCACGGGATTAATCGAGATCCAACACCTAAGACGTGTGATCCCTGGGCAAAAGGAGAGCGAGCTGACCATATTCTAACAAGTGTCTCAATACTTTTTGATAGGCGCGAGCGAAGGTTTCATGTACGTCGGACAATTGAAATTCTTCAACGGACAAACGCTAGTCGACGGGATAAAGAGTCTAGACAGCTCGTTGTGTATGGCGTCGATAGCGTTGAAAAATTACGTTAGCAGTTTGATGGTGAATGTGGTGGTGATGATAACAGCGAGAGGGGAGAATGATGGATGGATACCGGAGAATCTAAACGAAGGGCATATGGATCGGTTTTATTTCTTAATCGCAGCGTTAACGGCTGTAGATTTCGTGTTCTTGGTTCTCGCAAAGTGGTACAGATCAATTAACGTCGATCAATATAGCATTAAGGGCGGTACCGGTGCCAGCCATCATGATGTCGTGGTGGAGGAATTGGAGCAAGTTTGATTTTGAAGGATTTTTTAGTTATTTATTTTATTTTACGTTTTTTATGATACTTGGGATTTTTTTAAAGCCGATTAAACTAAATAATCTTCGTTAGCGGATGGGTTATATTTGGTTTTGACCGGTTTAGATTCGGTTAAGTATGATTGATTTAGTTGTATTGAAGACTGTTCTGTTTTTCGGTTTAGTTTCCGTTTAATATTGTTAATTTTTTTTTTTGTAGCGTTTTGTTAGTTAAGAACTTAAAATATAATTTGGACTCGGATTAAATATAGAAAATTTCCAAAAAAGTATTTTTTGGAAACTTCGATCATTTCCGTTTCAATCCTAATTTTACTATTTCGAAAAAAAAATCCCACGATATTAAATATAATTCAGGTTTGCTATTTTGGGGGGAGAAATTATTAGAAACATTTATTTTCATTTGGGTAATACAATGGGCATTGTTAAATGTTACAATACAAAAAAAATCCTGTGTCTTAGTTAAGAAAATCACTAAGTTTTAGAGCAATTTGATAAAATACGCAGACGGCATTTGTTCATATTCCAATTCATGGATTAAATGTGAAGCTAATTTTAAGATTCATTTTTTTTCCATATTTTCCAAAATAGGTAGATTTTCTTTTACTACCGAATTAAATACATTCCTAGTTTTGGACTCTTTTTTTTCATATATATGACTAAAGTAAATATATATATATATACTTATATTTAGTCAACTCATCTAATAATTATTAGATAGAGATTACGCATAACAAAAATGTTTAATCAACGAATTTTAATTGATTTCTTCGTTTTAGAAAGAAATCTTCCACGTGAGATCTACCAGAAATTAAATTTGTCAAAAAAAAATCCATTAACTAAAGAGAAAATCTACTTATGTGTACTTTATACTTAATTTTACACAATCTTAGCAATATTGTTACACGTTTTTTTCTCTTCCAAAAAAGGAAAAGTATCATTTTTACTGTATATGCACAATATATTAACCATGGATCAGAATCATATGACATTAAAAGAAAAACTAAAAAAAAAATGCAACGTTTTTTTTTTATATAAAACTATATTGATACTCTAAACAATTCAACCGCTGCTAAATTTTAGACATATTATAATATAGTTATTATGAATGTCTCTACAATATTCATATATTAATCATTAATAATCAATTATATTTTAAGTATGTAGATTTCTTTCCCTTCAGATTTATTTCTTTTTCAAATTTCTACAATTGACATGTTCGTTCTCAATATAAAATGGTATAGAATAGTTGCAAGCCAAGCCATGCCCTGTGTGTTTTTTATTTCCGTACACAATCCATTAAATTACGATTTTACCCTTCTGTCCGTATCTCTGTCCCGTGGACATGTCTTTCAACATGCCCTCAAACCCATTTGTCTTGAATTCTCATGCCGATGAAGCTTTTGTTTTCGGCGCCATTGGAAATCATTTGGTCCAAAGTAATTCTATGTTGGTTTCTTCTAACCATAAGAACCATGATGTTTCTGGTCATGGGAAATACGGCAATATGTTGAATAGCGTGAAACAAGAGCCCGGCATGGTTCTTCCTTCACGCTATTTCCCGTCATCTTCTTCTTCTTCGTCGTCGTTCATGTGTTCTCGAAACTCGATACCGATTCCTTCTTTCGGGCCGAGCAATCAGTTTGAGCTCGGAAAAAGGATGGTTCGAGAGATGAGAAGAAACCTCATCTCGACGTCGCCGCCAAGGACTCGGGTCTCAAGCTCTATCGATTACTTTCCTATCGAAGATAACCCTCATATGACCCGTGTATCTATCACCGAAACCGTCACAAAGCAATTGTCCGCGGTCGTTCCGACCAACAACATCGTCTCTGTCCAAAACGACATGGAACGCGTGAAACGTGCCTTGGTCTGTGAATCCAACGTTTGGAACTCCCCGGCTAGACACGCGAGTTTGTCTCAAAACGTTCATGGCCGAACCAAACGTACCGAGATCTTGAGGGCTCAACCTCTAAGCATCGTTTCTCCGCGAGTTCATCATAACCGAAATCCTTATCCTTGGCACCGCGGGAAAAACAAACTAGACAATCTTTTCCCTCGATCCCACAAAGATCCGGTTTATCCCGGATCCTTCAACATCTCCCCTTCATCGAATCATCGTGATATCCCGAATAACGGCTGTCAAGAGTTTCATCTACAAGCAAACCAAGGGAAAAGAAGCCGCGAATATAAAAAGGATGGAGATATGGTCGAGTATTTCTTCAATTATTCCGAGGAAGACGAAGACAATGGCTACGACGGGCGGACTCATAGCCTACCTTACGAGAAATACGGGCCATATACATGTCCCAAGTGCAACAACGTGTCCGACACTTCGCAGAAGTTTGCGGCACATATGGTTTCGGTTCATTATAAGAACGAGACGAGCGAGGAGAAAAGGAAGAGGCTCCGCGCGAGGTACAAGAAACGATTTGGTATGCTGCACCCGGAGATGGTAGGCGTCAAACTCGACATCTCCGAGCATTTGGGGGCGCGAAAAGAAGTTGAGAATATCGATTCAGAGGTCAAGGAAGAAGAAGGAACTGAAACGGAAGATGGTGGGAGTAGCAAAGGATCAAGCAATGGTGAGGGTACGCTCTACAACGTTGTTGTGAAACAAGAGCTTATGTAGTTGTTGTTTTTTTATATATTTTTTAAAGTTTTTGTAATTTAAAATAAATATGGATATTTTCAAACTTCGAGCCTTACTAATGTTTTAACAGTTTAAATTTAAGAGGAAAATTATTGGAATATACAAGACACAACCCCTGCCGATTGTACTTATTTTTTGCATCTTCTAAAATCTAAACTAATTGGTTAATATGTAATCCGAAATAACTCAACTTTGAATGTGTATGATCACCCAAAATAAAACATAACATTTGTTCAACCTAATCTCATTCTTTTTTTTTTAAAATCTTTCTTATATTGTTTTTACCATATAGTCTTTGGTCTAAATCTAATATCTTTTTTGTAATTAGTCTTTAGTCTCTTTCGTTTCTATCGTATTTATTTTATCTATCAATAAAACATCATCATATATCTACGAAATTTCGAGTTCGGATCGAAAGACCGAAACTCTGATACCATCTTAGAGTTTTTGGTGTTGTAGTTTTTCTTAGGGGTGGGTAATTCGGTTCGATCGGAAATCTGGTCTTGAACCGTACCGAACCGATTAATTCGGTTTCGGTTCGGTTCGGTATTATATAAAAATACCGAACGATATGAAATTTGAAATACCGAACGATTCAGAAATGGTTCGGTTCGGTTCGGAAAATACCGAACGGTATTTCAGTATTTTTATTTTTTAATTAAAAAATATTTAATATTAATAGTTAATTATGATATTTATTAATATTACGAGTTTGTTTGCGTAATGCATTGAGATTAATGTTGAATTTTTTCCAAGTTTACAAATTCAAAACTTTTATTTTGTTGTATAAAATTATTATGTTGGATCTCTTTACTTTTATATTATATGAATTATAAATATGTCATGAACCATCGCGAACCGTTTTTATTTCGGTTCTTATTTAGTACTTGTTTATTAGTACCGTACCATCCCAAACCGTCATAATACCAAATCGAACCGAACCGAATAATATATGGTACTAATTTGGTACAAATTTTATAATATCGAATAAACCGTTCCCAAACCGAACCGTTAAAATTCCGAAACGAATCTCGAAACGTCCGCCCCTAGTTTTTCTTGTTTCGTAACATTTTGGAGTTTTATCGATTTTTTCAGATGGAAGAACCAGAATTCTAATATTATTATAATCTAAACCTAGATTGTTTTTTATTTACCCGATGAACAGATCTTGAGTATATTTCCGAGTAGAATCAAAATAGAATAAATAACATAACAAGAAAATGAAAAAGAAGATTCATTATGTATACCCTTAACTCCTTTAATAACCCTTAGTTCCATACGACGTCGTTCTATAAGTCCGAAGCCGCTCTCCTGCGCAGAGGTTTTCCTTGTCTAGCTTCTTCTCTTCTACACCTGTATTAAAATTTTCTTCAATTCTGTCATATGATATATTTTTTTTTATATAATAACCAATTGTTTATGTTAGATTTTAGGAAATAGTTTACAGTAGAAAAATTTTATGCATCTTGGAGGATACCATCCTACCGATGACACGAATAACCTTCAAGATGTAGATCAAACGTTATTTTTAAATGATAAAATATTACGATTTTTTTTAATATATAGAATAAAGTATTATTAGATCGCACAGGTATTTTGTTTTATATTTTAACGAATTTCCTTGAATAAAAGCGACGATTTAAATACAGTGAATGTTCCTTCCGTTAAGTGTGATTAATCAGTCCTACAGGGTCAAAGTAGTCATTTGGTCTTCTGAAACGGCTGCCTTTTTGATAGGGAATCTCTCGTACTTTTTTGAAATTCGAATCATCAAAGACAAAAATGCCCACGCTTCTCCTACTTTTTACGTTTTTGTCTACGGTAACTATTTTGCGGCCCCCCTTTTGTTTTTCACCACATGAACCGACAAAATTACCCGGCCTCCTGAACACTCTTTTTTTCTTCCAAATAAAAATAATATATTATTCGTGAAAAAGATAGTATTAATGACATTTATTTGACGAGGAAGGTATATTTATGGGGCTACTTTATAAGTATTGTTATTGTTTTTATATTAAATATTATATTCTTAATTATCTGATGAAAAATATTTGTGGACTATAATTTTGTTTATATTGAAAAATAAGATTAATTTTTTGTTTAGTTCTGATTTATACTGAACTTGTTTGTCCATTTTAAAATGTGTCTACCTTTTTATGCAAATTTTCATTGTATATAAATGCTTTATAGACAACAAAAATTTAAACGTGAAATTGATATGTCAAACATATTTATTAGATTTAGAAAACTATAAAATTTTCTATTTTAGTTTTATTTAATAGATACGTATCTTAATTTTGAATTTGAAATTTATATGATTTTGCAAATCAACGTTTCTTTGCTCTTTACATAATTGTTTCTAATATTATTCTTCGTACCAAAGATATATTTTTTTATTGCAAATATTTACCGTAAAAAAAGTCCCAACGGTCAAACGGATTTCATGACGGTTACTCGAAGGTCTACACAATTTAAACTCAGTGTCATTTCTGTAAATATTCGGAAGAACGAACCTCGTTTTAAACACACACTTCAAAGAGCCATAATTTTTTCCTCATCGATGGCAAAGCGGTGGAAAAAAAAAGAGAAAGATTACATAAAACAAAAAACAAAAACAATGTACACACACATTCTTAGTAGCGAAGTAGCTTAAAGTTGCAGACTCTTTTTCTATCTCCCTCTTTTTTGTTTCTCTCTCTATCTCGCTCTCTCATTGTTAGGGTTTCCAGATTTTCCCTCTGTAAGTTCCTTTTCTGCTTCTTCGTCGTCGCATTTTCCATACTCATTGGGTTTTTTCGCTGTTTTTCTGCGTCGGTTTGGTGGGTTGTTTCAGATGCGTGATTTGTTTGTCTGATGTTAATCTACACGTCAAGTGTGAGTTTTCAAAAAAAATTTCTTTTGCTGAAATTCGTAATCTTTCTGTATCCGGCATTGATGGGTTCTTTCTTTCTTTCTTTCTTTTTATCGTTCACCATGTTCCTCTGGGAATTGTTTGTTTCTTTGTCAATATTTTTGTTGTGAAGTTTGCAGGACAAAAAGATATTTCTTTTCAGCTATTGTTCTTATTTTGAGCATTCTGATTTTCTTGGATAGTGGTTTGTGTTTTGAAGCTTTGTGATGTAATGTTGTTAGTTTGCATGTCTGGATCTGTTTGATTTACATGACATTCTTGTCCTACTTTGCTGATGCCCTTCCTAGTTGCACTTGGATTGAAGCCTTGTCATTTGTTCGGTTTGGTAGGAAACTGAGAGTTTCTGATTCAAGGGGTTTGATCGGAACCCCATTAGAGCAAAATGTCTTCTTCAAGAGGAGGGCCTGATCAGGGGCCATCCCAGCCGCCGCGCCGTATTATGCGGACACAGACTGCTGGTAATCTTGGAGAGTCATTTGACAGCGAAGTGGTTCCGTCTTCCCTTGTCGAGATTGCCCCCATTCTCCGTGTTGCTAATGAAGTTGAATCTAGCAACCCTAGGGTTGCTTATCTATGTAAGTATTTGTATCTTCTATAATCATTTCGCCTGGCATTGGTTTTTGTTGATCTGCTTCCGGAAACTTACGTGTGCTCCGAGTGTAGGCCGGTTTTATGCGTTCGAGAAAGCACACAGGTTGGATCCCACTTCCAGTGGAAGAGGTGTAAGGCAGTTTAAGACTGCCCTCTTACAGCGTCTTGAAAGAGTAAGCTTTCTTAATCCTTCTCGCGGATTTAGTATGTTGTTGGACAAACATTCTCTAATGGTTGATCCACTTTGTGCAGGAACATGATCCGACTTTAATGGGACGGGTTAAGAAAAGTGATGCCCGTGAAATGCAGAGTTTTTATCAGCTTTACTATAAGAAGTATATCCAGGCTTTGCACAATGCAGCTGACAAGGCTGATCGGTTAGTTTAATCTGCCCCACATTTTCGGTTTGATATCCCAATAGCATTCTATTTGTGTTTATTGTTTAAGATAGCACCAAGTTCCAAGAACTGATGCTCGGCATTTTGTTTGTTTCTAGTGCCCAATTGACAAAGGCATACCAAACTGCAAACGTTTTGTTTGAGGTTTTGAGGGCTGTTAATCTGACGCAGTCTATTGAAGTTGATCGGGAGGTTAGCCATTGTGACATTCTGATTCTTTTGTCTCTTTGGTTTTTTAATTTCTTTTTCAGTTGCATTATCATTCCTCCATGAGATTCATTTATCTCTCTGTGCATATATTGTGAATGTTTTCCACCTATTGATTGCTTTCCTTTTGCAAAATAAAAATGAGTGGTAATCTCTGCAGATTCTGGAAGCTCAAGATAAGGTTGCTGAGAAAACACAGTTGTATGTCCCCTATAACATCCTTCCACTTGATCCTGATAGTGCAAACCAGGCAATTATGAGATATCCTGAGGTTTGTCCTCTAGATCTCACTTTTCGGTGACTGTTATACTTTTGCAATGAGATTCATTGAATAACACAAGCTTATCTGCAGATTCAAGCTGCCGTTCTTGCACTTCGTAACACTAGAGGTCTTCCATGGCCAGAAGGGCACAAGAAAAAGAAAGATGAAGACATGCTTGATTGGCTTCAGGAGATGTTTGGCTTTCAGGTTATTTAAGTTTGATGTAATTGTTGAATACAATTTTGTGTTACAGCAATCATGTTCTATGTTATTTGCCAAGAGGATAATATTCCTTATTGGGGCTTGCTTTAATTCATGAGTTATAATGGTTCTACAGAAAGACAACGTGTCTAATCAAAGGGAGCACCTGATCTTATTACTCGCTAATGTGCATATAAGGCAATTTCCAAAGCCTGATCAGCAGCCAAAGGTTCGTTCCATGTTTGAGTACTGTAGCGGATCAGTAGTCTAATTCCCCTTTGGTATTTTATACTGTAGACATGACGGACTGTTACATATGCTCTCTTCTTTTACTGTTATTTGAAATCTGCCGGAAGTTTATTTGATTTCATTCTTATTTTCTGTCAACATAGAATTGGATTATATACGTTTAGTAATTTGATGATTAGCTTTTCTAAAGATCTGTATTTCTTCCGACGCAATTATCAGGGGCACGCTCTACCACTGAGCTAATAGCCCGTCGTGTGGGCCTCCTGCTGGGGGCCCGCTATGCCAAGGATAAATCAGTGTCTTCCTTTTAACTATGCACATCATGTGGAATTTACTGCCTTTCAACTGGTATTTTCTTTTGTTCTGGGGTTTTTATGGTAATAAACTGTTATCCCTCCCTCTGCAGTTAGATGATCGAGCGTTGACAGAAGTAATGAAGAAGCTCTTCAAGAACTATAACAAATGGTGCAAATATCTTGGTCGAAAAAGAAGTCTTTGGTAAGGGCACATTGAATTTCTCTGTTTGATTCGTTATAGTTTCTGTACGAGTAGCTAATAAAGCGAGTAATGAGCATAAAAAGATATTAGAGTTGAAATGACCAGAAGAAAAGATCTAATATTGAGCAACAAAGATTCGGTATATATATCGTTCAACTTATGGTACCCAACATTTGTATTTTATAGCTAGGAATTTATGCAAACCCTTAACATGGTAATGAGTGACCTTGAAGTGAAAGATCTGCGTTAATGCATGATTTGAATTGTAGGTTACCTACTATACAACAAGAAATGCAACAGCGCAAGCTGTTGTATATGGCTCTGTATCTTCTCATCTGGGGTGAAGCTGCGAATTTGAGATTCATGCCAGAATGTCTCTGCTACATTTATCATCATGTATGCTTCAGTTTGCATCTCTTCTATGCTTCAGTTTATCGTCCTTGCTTGTGTTTTGGCATGTTTTGACTCGGGTCTTATCCTTTCTATCAGCAATATGAGGTTTTGTTGTCGTGCTCCTATATGGGAAGTCTGTCTCTCCTTATTGATGCTTGGATAAAGGGGCTAACTTAAAAGGGATAACATAACCTTGTGTAGAATCATGTTTTGGAACTGGACCAAGCATTTGCATACATGTTCTATCTAATGTAACCGTTGCTCTCCATCAACTTGATGTGTTTTTCTTCAAAATTGCATTTGTAGTTGCTTGGTACTCAAAGATCCATTATGTATTACTGAATATTTCATCTCTCTTTCTGATCTATGTCATGTGTTTTGCAGATGGCATTTGAATTATATGGCATGCTGGCTGGGAATGTTAGTCCTATGACTGGGGAAAATGTGAAGCCAGCTTACGGTGGTGAAGAAGATGCATTCTTGAGGAAAGTTGTGACTCCTATTTATGAAGTGATCGCAAGGGTATGGTGCAATCTTTCAGCCTTCTCCAAATGCTAACAACATTCTGCGTTCTTCTGTTTTTAGAATATCCTAACTTATTCGATTGCATGATTTCCAGGAGGCTGAAAGGAGCAAGAGAGGAAAGTCAAAGCATTCTCAGTGGAGGAACTATGATGATTTGAATGAATACTTCTGGTGATAAACATTCTATCTGCCATCACTCTAGTCGTTACATTTGTTTTGTTTAGTTTCTTCATTAATTAGTTTAATCTATTCTTATTTTGCAGGTCAGTTGATTGTTTCCGGTTAGGTTGGCCAATGCGAGCTGATGCTGATTTCTTTTGTCTGCCTGTTGACCAGCTCAACTCGGAGAAAAATGGGGTACATAATTACTACAGATTATCTCTGTTCTTATTCTTCTGTTTTGTTGGATAGTTGCAACTTGCAACCTAATCTAGAACTGATTTTCGTGAGATGATGCTGGGGACAACATCCAATATATAGTTTCCACAAGTAATCTATATGTATGGATGATTATAATGACTTAACACACAATTGCTGTCTTTTCCTCTTGTACTTCTAATTTTTATGCAGGACAACAGCAAACCTACTGTTGCCAGGGATAGATGGGTGGGAAAGGTTAATTTTGTTGAGATACGCTCCTTTTGGCATGTGTTTAGAAGCTTCGATCGAATGTGGAGTTTCTTTATTCTGTTCCTTCAGGTATTACTTTCTATTGAAAATTCCTTCTGTTCTCTTGTATTATATAGTCCAAGATTTTGATGATGATGTTTACCTCTGCAAGGTTATGATTATTTTGGCTTGGAATGGTCCGGGAGGACCAAATACAATCTTTCGAGCTGATGTATTCAAGAAAGTCCTGAGCGTATTTATCACAGCTGCAATACTGAAGCTTGGGCAAGGTTGGTAAATGTTGCAGTTCTATGCTTGTCTATTCTCTTCTTGCTCTGGAAGGAAGAAAGTAATCTTACTAGACCCTTTTCTGCAGCTGTTCTTGATGTGATCCTGAGTATCAAAGCCCATCGGAGCATGTCACTTCATGTTAAATTACGATACATCTTGAAGGTGCTCTCTGCGGCAGCATGGGTGATAATTCTGCCTGTAACTTACGCCTACAGTTGGAAAGATCCCCCTGCATTTGCTAGAACTATCAAAAGTTGGTTTGGTAATACCATGCATTCGCCTTCACTATTTATATTGGCCGTTGTTATCTACTTGTCGCCAAACATGCTTGCGGCTGTTCTGTTCCTCTTCCCCCTGCTTCGCCGGTTCCTTGAGAGGTCCAACTACAGAATTATAATGCTAATGATGTGGTGGTCACAGGTATGTCTCTATTCTTTGCATCTTAATTCCTGCTCAAAAGGTAAAATGGAATGCAGCAATCACTTTTTAAAGTTTTGCAGTTTGTGCTGTTACCTGTCCTATTGAAATGCACCGATTGTTAACTGTGTTCTATATTTGCTTGCAGCCTAGACTCTATGTTGGAAGAGGAATGCATGAGAGCGCTTTTTCTCTCTTCAAGTAGGAACCCAGTATCTGAAAGTGAAACCATTAGAGTTCAGTGTCTGAAGCAAGCAATTTTCCTCGGTTTACTTATGTTTTATTCCCTGTTCTTTTTCTCTCGCAGGTATACCATGTTTTGGGTATTACTTTTAGTTACAAAGTTGGCGTTCAGTTACTACATAGAGGTAATTGTCTCTCATTGTAGATTATATTCTCATTATGCTTCTTGTGAGAAGAGTGTCGGCAGTAGTAATAGTTGAAATCTATAATGAAGATAGCGATGAGATTAACACTATCCAAATATTATTAACTGTACTGCCATGCTGAGCATTGTTTGACAATCTTTTTATGTTCAACAGATCAAACCGTTAATAGGTCCAACAAAAGCTATCATGAGCGTCCGAGTGACTAATTTCCAGTGGCATGAGTTCTTTCCTCGTGGTAATGTTCTTTGCAAATCCATTGCATGTTTGTGTTATTTGCGCCTTAATGAAGACATATTAATTGCTCTTTCACTACCTTTATGTGATATTTACAGCAAGGAACAATATTGGTGTTGTTATTGCTCTTTGGGCTCCTATTATTCTTGTAAGTATATGGTCATACCAACCTTCCATCTGTCCTCTCTTGTCTTCTGATATTGTTAATCCTGAGTTGTCCTTCCTGGTGTAGGTATATTTTATGGATACTCAAATTTGGTATGCCATATTCTCCACATTATTTGGTGGTATTTATGGTGCATTCCGTCGGCTTGGGGAGGTAAATGTCTATTGCAAAATCTAGTAGAAGCTGTGCTGTTTAAACGTTGAGCACAATATTTACTTTGAAATTACTTTTTAGTGATCTCTTAACCTTTCTGTTATTTATTTTTTATAGATCCGTACGCTGGGAATGCTTAGATCACGTTTTGAGTCACTGCCTGGAGCATTTAATGCCTGCTTGATTCCAGATGGAGTCAGCCAGCAAAGAAAGAAAGGACTAAGGGCGACTTTATCCCATAACTTCACAGAGGTTTAAGTTTGTTAAACTGTCGGCATTTTTACCAAGAAGTCGCAGTAAGTATATTAAAGGCCTCTCTGCTTATTGCTTGTACATGTCATTTACTTCAGGTGCCACCTGTTAACAAAGAGAGAGAGGCTGCAAGATTTGCCCAGTTGTGGAACACAATTATCAGTAGTTTTCGAGAGGAAGATCTTATAAGCGATAGGTAACTTTCCCCAAATCATTTGCATGCCACAGCTCTTTCCC